TCAGCTTGTTGTTGGACTGTGTGACCTACCGTAGTCGTTGTGATGGTCGTTGTTGTTTGTTTTTTCTTTTCTGCATGCGGGCCGGAGGTGGGGGGTAGGGGGGGGTCCGGGCCCGCACCCCGTGGGGTTGGGGGGGGGGGGGGGGGGGGCGGTGGTGTCCCAAATTTTTTTTCGTAATTTTCAACTCAATCCGATCATGTTTAGCTACATTTATAGTAGTTTGAGAAGTGCCGGATCCAGACCTTAAGTTAAGGGAGGAGGGGGGTCCGGTCTCCCAGACCCTGAGATAAAGGGGGTTGGGGGGGGTGGTCTCCCAATTTTTTTTTCGAACCTTCGGGCCTCAGTTTGGTCTAAAAATAAAGAGGGGCGGGCCCCCCGGGTCCCTCCCCTGGATCTGCCACTGCTGAGTATCAACGTTTAATTCTGATAGGAAAGGGGAAGAGCGAAGTGAAATAAAAAGGGTTAACAGCTGAAGAAAGCGTGCCAGTTTGCTTTTATAAGTTTACTGAGGTCGGTTCGTTTCCTGGCCGTACCACTTTATCATGTCTCGAACGACCTATGAAGTATTACTCGGATTAACGTTAAAACGGCAAAGACTACTCGGGTAGGTACGAATTATCAGGTCTCGTTGGTTCAAAAGCCAGGGCCGAGTTGTTCGAAGGCCGATTAGCGCTTAACCAAAAGGGGTTAAATTTAACAAGGCTTTTTTCTTTTGTTCAAAAGCATTTTCTCGGATAACTTTCTCTGTTTTTTTCAAGAGCATCCAATCATCAACTTGTTGCTGACAAAAACAATTAAAATGAATTTACTTTTTAAGCTTCATATCTGAATTCAAATTTCGCACTAACCCTAGGCCTATCTTAACCCAGCTTTGAACAACCCGGCCCAGGTGGATAACTCTATACGGAGTCTATCCAGTGGATGAATCTCTATCCACTGTATAGAGCGCAATTGGTTTTTCCCTAAGACTTTAATCCGCTGGTTAGTGATCAGTATTCGGGCGGAACTGAGTAGTGCTATCTAACCGTTTGACCAACCGGGGCTAGGAGCGTGTACGCCAGACTCACGAGTCAGTCTTTGTCCCTGAAAAAAACTGTCACAAGTAAATGACCGTCATAAGTGTACTTAGAAAGTAGATAAACAAAGAAGTAACAAAAAAGTAAATGTTGAAAAGCAAGATAACACGTATAATTCGCTATGTTATTCCACTTTTTGGTTCTTTCAGATAATTTTTCCTAAAGAAAATGTTGTGTTTTCCCTATTTTTTCCACTTATTGTCAGTGCCAGCTGAAGAACATGGCCCCTTAACGCCAGAAGAGGTGATTAATCAAGTCACCCGCAAGCATGGCAAGAAAACAATTCTTTGGACGGCTGACGGGGAAGGGTGACAGACTCGTACCCAGTTACTCCTCTATGTTTGCGCTGTGATTAACAGTTTAGTGAGTTCGCGGTGCATCAAGGGGAGGAAAGAAGAAAAACGCTCCCAAGCGCCTTTGCGCATGTTAAATAAATAAGTGGCGACTGAGTACGAGTCTGGTAGAAGTGTGTGACGTGGAAAATTGTGCGTCCCCTGGAAAATTTCTCGCTACGCCCCTTGAACTCAGGAGCGTTGCGTCCTCATAGGCACAAACCCCCTTGCTTACAGCTGAAATCTGGGGAAAATAATTATATGTATTTTTTATTTTCTGAAAGCATTTATATCATTAAATCGCGATGACTAATAAATTTTTCGCGTCATATCAGCAGTTTGTATTTGTATTTCCTTTTATGATCCTTTATTATTCTATCAACAGACTATAAGAAACGTTATAGTAGGGTGGGGACGAGAGATTGAGCTCCCTTGTAATTCTGCCCACACACAAGAACAAGGACGTTGATATTGATGGCCTGTTACCTGCGAGAACTGCGAATGTAATTAAACCGAGCGTTTTTGTTATTATGTCATTATTCACGGTGTTAGAGAGAATCTTGTGTCTGTAATAGTTTCCACATTTCTTATTTTCATGTTTGTTGATTAGTTGTTACTCGTGCATGTGTTTTAGTTCTCAGCTGTACTATTTAAACAACAGTGTCGGACTTACCGTTATAAATCGTTAAAATCATGAAAAATCGTTACTATCGATTGGACACAGCAATTTAGTTTATCGATTTTCAACATAGAAACCAAGATCACTGATAGCCATTCAAGAGTATTTGGTCCCTTCTGGGTAAACAAAGGGGTTTCTTTTTTTAAGAATACACGAAAAAACTTTAAGTCAAATCTCGTCCTCGTACATGTAGTAGCTAGTGGACGACTGGAGACTACCGGGCCTGGTCTGCTGTGTCTTAAAATTTCTTTCTTTAATTTTTTTTTTTCATTTATTTTTTCACTTTTCCTATTTTTGAGAAGAGTATGCGGCACGAGAAACTGAAAAAGAAGAAAAAAAGTCAAAGCTGTTTGTGTATCTCAAATAAATCGATAGCCGAACCGATAAAAATTACTTGCGTGCTGGAGAGCAAAATTCGTGACGATCGTGGAAGCACGTGATCGATAAAAACAGATGACGCAACTTTTGGACAGCAATGAGCATGCGCAAATAAATCCCGTGACTCGCTGGAAGGTTTTGGAAGGAAGGCAAAACGATTTTGCAGGAACGTGCCTCAGATTGAAGGGATTTTTTCACCGCTTGCAGCCAGAACCATACATTATGAACAGCGCACAGACTAACGTGTTGCCATCTGGATCTCGACCGATTCCTTCTAGACGAATTGTGGTTAACGATCCGGGGCAAATGCCTATGGACTATTCTACGACCCCGGGAGGAACCATATTCTCTACGACTCCAGGCGGTATGTTGAACGTGTTTTGGGCTTAAAGTGTTTACTGTGATAAAAGTAATAGTTAAAAGCGTTAAGAAGCTATTCACTTTGCTATCTTAAGTTTTTTGTAAGCTTCAAGTCTTCGAGTGTGTTGTGGCCTACCGGTTAATTTACGCTTGCGTAGGCTAAACGAGGAGAACGTCGTGTTGATTATACACGTTCTCGTTTCGAGTATAATTTTAACCGATCACAGGCAAAATAAGCAATCATACTTCATCGTAACCTGTGTTTCGACTGTTCATCTTAATGTTTTTGTGTTGCCTGTAATGAAAACTCATATTGGTGGTCTTGTACATTGTTTTGCTGTGAAAGTACAAAGCCTTGCTCAGCAAGTTTCGTTTTGTCCAGACGTGCAGTTAGCGAACTCTCGCATCAAATGTGGTTGAATATTACCACTGTTTGCTCGTTTATTTCAATCCTTGGTGTTAACACTATCGCTTATAGTTCGGTTGCATTTCACTGTGCATACAGTTACTTGAAAAAAGTACAAATGTAGATATCGTTGTGAAGGCATAGGCCCACAAACAAAAGCAAAGATGTGTCGTCATAGCTTTTTGGAGCTTGTGGAAATAATGTCGATAGGGTAAAGCTTTTGCTTCAGGAATTGCAATGCATTCCTGTTTTTCGCGAAGGGAGTCTAAGAATAATCGTTGCTGTGGCTTGCTTTGAGGTTGATAACTTTTGTAAAAATTTCCAGTGTTTACGTTTGGCGTATTGTTTTTGTGATGGCGATATAAACAATTCCCACGTGTTTTGTTTATGGTCGATGTGTTTTTATTATATATTCAATTAAGTGATGAGCTTTTTTCTAAAATTGGTTCCAGGAACTGCACATTTTTTGCGATGATTTTCTCAAGTGCCTCAAGTTATTCCGAGATTTCGTATTTTGGTAGACTTCTTTAATTTGCTGATGATTTAGTATTCCTTTATATGACTAAAGTAAAAAATAAAATAAGCTGAAGTATTGAAATGTGCATGAAGCTATGTATACTAAGCTGTATTTTTAGCTTCTAAATACACTGTTTTATTGTGAGGTTCATGAAACTCTTCTAAAAAAGATTTACATGTAATGAGATTTTAATGGTAATTTAATTTTCAGATCATACCCTTATCAGTGAGTTTCCCTCCTAAGTTAACCATGCAGTGGTTTAACTTCAAATTTTATTGAAATCATGCATTTAGTCGTTTACCTGCAGTGAAAAATGTACATGTACCTGTGAATTGGCTTGGGTTATTCAAGGAAATCTCTGTAATCAAAGTTAGGAAATTATTTTTGTTGTAGGTCAGTGGCACTCGAAATCTATGACCTAAGACCGTGAAAAAAAAAACTGTGTGAAAACAGCATCTCCTTACAAGCTGTTTAAGGTGCTTTTGTAATCAAAGAGTGAAATAAAAATAATAAAGTCAAACTAGGTCAGTTTTAGCCATTTTGAAAAACCGAAATCTACCACACCACATGCACAAAAGGTTGGCAAAGCCAGGGGTACATACGTGTAATGCTTCAGCCGGATAACCGTTGATATCGAAGCAACCTTTAGTACAGGGAGAGTATGGTAATATTAGAATTGAAATGGTTCATGGATTGTGGTGTTGATTCTGAACGTTTTTATGGGGGTAACTCTTTATGAGGCTAATTGACGATGAGCTTTTATGAATTGAACTCGGTTTCTCACGTGGTGAAGTAGTTTGGGGCAAACTCGTTATTGGCAAAACCACTGGCTTCCAGTGATTTAAGTGCAATGATTTTCACAAATTTACCAAGTTATTGTGACCTTTAATCTCTTTATGTCAACCCTGAATTGTTTTGTATTGCATACCAACAAACAAAATACTCTTAACCTCTTTACCACTATGTGCTGGTTTTCTGGGGAAATCAAAAAGTGTGTGCAACAGTGCACACCAGTTTTCCAGCAAAACAAAGCAGCTCTGTTTGTTAAGGAATTACTGGGCCTTACTTTCTATTTATGGAAAGCCAATTTATGCAAGTAACAAATTTAACATTGTGCGGTAAGATGTGCAACATTTTTGCTGGTTTTGGGAACATTTTCAGTCATTGTTTTGGTTTTTTGGTTATTGTAGAATTCCCATTGTAATGATGTACTTCTTAAATAACTGCATGGTTTGCAGTACGTGCAAGTTCCATACCTTATATGCCAGTTTTTTTCTGAAAAATTGCAATTTTTAAAACTGCCAGTGTCCTAGGCACTTTGTCTTCAGAGCAGCTGGTGTTAGTCTGAAACTAAGTTGAGTATTACTCTAGGCAAAATATGCTGTGTAGAAATCACATTGACCTTTCGTGTTGTACCATGTATCATGCTGGAAATTAGGTACAGATGTAACCTTTTATTTTGCCCTTTTGGAAGGTCTGTCTGTAAGAATGTAAATGGTGGAAACTGCGGTTAATTCTTTTTTAAAATTACACTGAAAGTTGAGAACATCTGTGGTTTATTTCCAGTAAAGTTTCTTGGAAGGAAGAGAGAAAATAGTGCCCTTGAGGTACTTTTTCCTCCACATGTATCCAATTGCTTTTGTAACCATTGCATGTAGCTCATGACCTATGAGTACTGATGGATTTTTGTACATTGGCTGATGTAAAACTAAAACCCCTTTAGATTTATGTTTGCAATTTATTTAGTGTTCATCTTTGTTTGTCTCACTTTATAGGAACACGCATTATATATGAGCGCAAGTTTCTTCTGGATTTACGTAACTCGCCACTGTCCCGTACTCCTCCACGGAATCTTCCTCTTATTCCAGGTGTTACTTGTGATGAAAAGGTAAAACCTGAGAGCCCTTTGAAGGACAATGGTGTGGTCACCACAGAACCAGAGAATGACAAAAATGACCATGGTAAGAAGCTAAGTTGAATGTACAGCTGTACCTGGTAGTAAGGGAAGAGTTTTTTGCTTTACATAAAGGCATCTTTCTGCATTTTGACCCTAGCAAATTGCAAGAAAATCAAATTTATATTTTGGGTAAAATCTCAAGAAATAAGTATGCTGTACATGTAGTAGTAGGTACATGTAAGCCTATTGCCAAAGAGGCTTGTAGGGTTTTGTCCACGGGGATAATGAAAGGTGACAAATAATTTTGCAATGACTTGGTACATGAGTGAAGGAATATTAAACGAGGTTTTATTTAATTAACAATACATAACAAACTTTGACTCTTGATGACTTCTGCACAGGCGGTCAAATCATTGGTCACTACAGTGACTGCTGTTGAGGGCTACAGCATCCCTATGAACCACTACTTAACATTAAATTGGGCTGTCACTAAGATTTCTAGGTACTTAGTAAATACAACAAGTAGTAGTTAGGGTTCTATAATTAAGTTTTATCTTCTATTTTCCCATGAAAGTAGCTGGGTCATGTTCATGCATGTGCAGTGTAGTAGCCAGGGGAAATCCGTGGTCCTCAGCCCTTACTGAGGGTCCTGATGAAAATAATGCTGTTATAAATAGACAATGTTACATGGCCGCGCAAAGATACGAAATTTCTCTTCGGGTACATTATACTTTGAGTGCCTTGATAAAGACCAGTAGGGAAATATCTATCAAATGATGCTACTGGAAAAAGTGCTGTAAAATATTTATTATTTCAGTTACCAAGTTTAAAGATGATATGTCCAAAGAGGGCAAAGATATTGCTCATTAAGGCACACAGTTTTACTTTTCTTTGTATGGTGGGGTGCACAAACTTTCACCCCATCATATAAACATCTGTAAAATTTAGTGACATTCAGAGCTATGTCTTCTTAATTTCACTGATAAAATTATTCTGGAACATGTACATGTACATCTACCTTGTGTCCATAATATTTGTCCACAACTTGTTTATTATTGTTTATTTTGTAATTTTCTTTCACCAGCAGAACAGGAAGAACCACAATTTGAGATGGACATCTGAAGAGGTGCAGATCTTCACTTACACACGCATGACACCCGTTAAAATTATGATGTCAAACGGATGTAAATATTGTCATAGTGTGGAGGTCCTGAATGGAATTGACAGAAAATTTGGTCTAGCTTTGAGCCAGTTGGTCTCCTGTCAAAATAAGGAATAACTCACTGGCAGGCTGACATCAAATGAAGTTGTATATAAAATTGCTTTTTCTCGACACTGGCCATGTCGAAATAAAGATTTTGGGCCAACTGCACGATATCTTTTGTCTTACATGTCTCTTTGACTTTCTTTTGGCCACACAATATAGTTAAAACCTGCGAGTGTGAACCTGGTTTTTAAGAACCTGTTACACTCTAGGCTAAAATTTGCCCGTTAGGTCCCCTTTTACAAGAACCCATTTAGCCTAAAATTTGAAACAGGTTCTTATTTTCTAAAATCTATGAAAAAATTCTGTACACCTGGCCAAATACGGTAATTCAACATTTAGGATTCTCTATGGAGTCATAGGTCCCTTATCACTCCAACTGCAATGTAATGGTCTGCAGATTTTATAAAAGGAATGAGCTGAACGCCACTAACTACTCGTAGCCTCCAGGAATTTTTTTCTTCCAGAAAATGAGACTCTATCTAAGAACCTAAATAGCCTAAATTTGTGTTTTTTTCCATTTATGTTGTAAGAACCTGTCAAGACTATTGGGGGAACTGCAGGTTCTTACTGACGGGTTTTTACTGGATAAGCATGAGATTGACAGCTCCTTTCGTGCCCTAGCCTGTTAGCAGGCTCTTTATGTGGAACTTGTGGGAGTTAAAGCCCTTGTGCGAGTGAGCTATAGAAGGTTCAGCAGTCCTTTCGCGCACTACCATTTACCTCTGTTTAGCTTGCTTGTACACTGTAGGCTAAAGTTTTGGTAAAACGTGCAACTTGTTTTGCAACTTGATTTGCTGCAAGACGGTTGTTGTGGGTAAAATGCGCAATCGTCTTACAGCAATGTTGCAAGACAATTTGCATGCTTTTTATTGCCCGTTTTACCGTACCTTAAGGTACAGGCGTCATACACAAACAGTTTATCATGTTGGAAAAGCTCTTTTAGGGGTGATCAGTTCGTACCGTAAAATACTGAAAATCAATACTACATACTAGACTAGTTTCTTTTCTGGGCTTTTTTTATTAGTATTGGTATTGAGGTCAATAATTAGGTGTCTCATCTCTGTGTTGCAGACAGTTACTGTGCTGCAATCTATATGTTGGTTTATTATTATTATTATTATTATTATTATTATTATTATTATTATTATCATTATCATTATCATTATTATTGTTGTTGTTGTTATGATTGCCATCATAGTTATGATCGGTATGTAAAATCTGATAGTACTTTGAGAAGTCAAGAAAAAACAAACTAAAACACAAAGCCTGACAAAAGAATTGTCAGACTATCGCGTTTTTAATCTTCATACAACACCCGTACATCGCCAGGTAACTGGTCAACATCAAGATATTCCCACGGAAACCTATCAGACCCCGGCATTATAAAGCTGATTTTAGGATAATACTCAAATTTGTTACCTTTCTTCTTTTGCCACTCCGCCCAAAGTTTGTCAATAAACCCATGGTGAAGCCAGAATTCCGGAGTGTACGCGGCCGTCAAAGAACAATGCATGCTTTCACCCACGCAATCGTGAAATTTTGAGTGGAAAATCTCACGAATTGTTTTCTCAAAAACAGTAAAATTTTCCTGTATGACAAGGTTTTGGGCACAGTCTGCGTTTGGTGGGTTACAAGAATTATTAAAATTTCTTTTCAAGCAACCACCACCCGCAGCCTGCGGTAAAGAGAATTCACCCTTCTGAAATGGGCCTTCAATTACGCAGTTATCAGGGAGGACTCCATTGCCTCCCAGACCGTGAGGACCTGGGTTCCATGTATCCTCCATATTAGAGCCTCGGGTCCAGTGTTCCGCGTCTTTGCTCCAATTCCAGTAAGGAATCGTAATCCGGCAGTCGATTTGGCGAAGAAAGTTCTCGAATTCAAGCAGATACCATCTGTGCCATGGTAGGAATATCTGAGGCATGTGATGGAGTAACTTGCTTGGAATTCTTAAGTGAATGTTCGTTATTTTGTCATATTCGTCTGTGTATCGTGCATCAGAAGAAGCCAGTTTGAAGGCTTTTATGAAGCGTATTCGTTCTTCAACGCTCATTTTAGTGAACTCTTTTCTTACTCTGTAGCAAGATATATAGTTGCCATCCTGACATTTGCAACTCCTACCACATACATCTTCAACTTTTTCGTTGTTTTCACATGCGATCGTGGGAACTGAAAATAAAGAAATCAATAAATTTACTATTCTGGCGACCCCCGTGTTTCGAATACATATATCAGTTTCCAGCGACTCTTGCCAAATTTTCACAGTGAGAAACTTATAGACATCTATTTTAGCTACATAAGCAAAAAATAAATGATAGTAAACTAGGCGTGTTTTTCACATCGTGAGAAATTACCATATTTTTTGTTAAGTTAGTTTTAATAATGTATGTCCTATGCATAAGGGCACACAATTTCGTTGTAGGAAGGAAATCCAGGAATTGGCTTTTTAACATAATGCATGATACGTAATAGATATACAATGAAAATTAAACCAACCTTTGACGTAACGTTCCAGGAAACTGACGTCCAGTTTGTGACAGGCGTCTGAAGTTTTCTTAAGGGTGGTTGCTGCAGTTAAAACCATGGAACGAAAAGCTTTCAAGATGTTTCCCGGGCAACGAGGAAAGGAAAGGCAATCAATGGTAACCTTTTAAAAATAAAACAATGTAAGTCTTTCACTCGGTTTATTTTTTCCTATTCCGATGTTGTCAAAAACCAGTATTCTCCATTTTCAGATCTCCCATAATGCACCTTGTTCCCCTCTCTCCCCCAAAATTTTGCATAACCTTTGTTTTTCATTTCTCCTTGGTATTAAAGCCGTCCCAACAGAAATTGAAAACAATGCTTATGCAAAAATTTGGGGGAAAAACAGTGTGCATTTTGGAAGATGTGCAAGTAGCGGATGGTTTTAAATCCAGAAGAGAGAGCGAGGAGGAATCATAACGAATCATGTATCAGAAAGTTAAACAAGATCACACGATAGTGACATTTTGGCTCAGGGGCACCCAACGACAATTTTCGGAAGAATATCTGTTCGGAAGACGATTTGAGATCTAGAATTTTCGGAAAATTTGTTGTAAAACTTCTTGCTTGCCTGCCTCTCCTAGGATTTTCGAACATCAAAAAAATGGTCTGAATTGCCTAATTTTAACGGATTTTTAACCTTACAAGGTCACCTAGTTAAAAGCCCTCGGAAAAAAGACCGACTTTAAAAGCTTTTCCATTCAAAACTAGGGATATTAAAAGCCTAGTGATGTGAAAGTCGATCCTTTAGGCTTGTCTACTTTTTAAAAATCCCCATAAAAATATGCGTATATCTACCGTTTATATACTAAAATACGTTTAACAATGCTATGTTTAAGTGGTTTTGAACTATATTCTCGTTGGGTGCCCCTGTTGGCTAGATCATCTGATGTTCATAAGTATTCAAAACCAATTGTTATTTAACTTTTCGCTTCATTTTTTAAAGATATATATGTGGTTAAAATGATATTGTGAAGTATATATGAAATAATTCATTTTTGAACTGCGGCTGTAGATGAAAGTGAAGAATGATCATCGCAGTAAATTTTCCAATTTAAGCAATTTGAGGGAAGAAGCCTGAAAAAAAATCAGGGCTTCAACAGTCGTATTTTGGGCTTGGGCGTAATTCGGCGAAAAAAACTCGCGATATTATATCGTCGCTTTTGTCCAAACTTGACTAAATATAGTAGAACTAGACAAATACATTTTAAAGATACCTCCTTTTTCTTTGTAAGTGGTAAACGCATGGAAACAAGATACAGCAGAAGAAATTAAAAATTAACTAAAGGATAAAACTGAACGGCAACCAAGTACGCTTAAAAGCCCATTAACAAAGCATACAATAACATATTCTCTTGAAAAGAAAAGCTTTTCGCAGGACTGTTCTGTGATGCCGGCATAACAAATTGTTCCATTGTAGCTACCGACAGTCTCAGTCAGAAACTAGCAAGTGAAGTATAGTACACGTAACTCTGCAAATTATGCTAGTCTTTTCCAGTTTCATTTTCTTACTGCTTGAATTAGCACTTGCTATATTTCCAGTAGAATTGTTAAGATTATGGCTAGAATAGAGGGCAAGATATTGACCTACCTGCAGCGAGTCACACTCCTCTCTCAACAGGCGTTTATTTCCACTTTCGATAGCTTTCAGAAGCCCTTGAGACTGATCAGAGCATTCTTGAATCACCTTCGCTTGGCAAAAAGAATCTTGTTCTACTGCCGAAACGTCCTGTCTTTTTAGGCACATCAAAAGCATGGAGAAAAGTTTTACAAACAGCATGGCTTGTTTCTTGACAAATTCGTTTTTATTTCTGAACAGCGTCTTGCTATACCGGGATATCCGGCCTTTAAACAGGTGTTTTACTAATAAAAGTTTCTTGGTAATTAAAAACTGTTTTCATCATACTTCAAACAGAGTTTGCTAATATGACTTTTCGTTTAAAATCAGCTTACTTTAATTGCCGTTCACTTCTCCGGTCAGCTTTAGGTCATAAAAAGTGTTTGATCGCCGCATAAAATTGCCGAATTGAAATTTCATGTTCTTCTTCATTGAATAAATCACCAAGTAAGAAATTTAAATTCTTGTCAAAGGTTCAAGTTGACTAGTTTTGGATTATTTCGCCTCTTCAGGTAATTTTCGTTGGTTTAATGGGAAGTGCACGAACAAACTCGGCAGGGGTCATGCATTAATAGGAACGCAGGTGCAATTTTAGAAAGCCTTACTATTTATCGGTGAAACTAAATCTTTTTCGCAGGTTAACACAACCAATATGTACTAAGTCAGGGACCTATTACAGCCCTTAATAAAGTATATCAACAGAAAATTAGTCCT